TAGAGCCTGCAGGAAAAACACTCAGATTAAGAGGCAAAAACTGGGTGCTAAGGAAAATGGTGGCGTGCTTCTCTCAAAGGGCAGTTTTTTTTGTTTTGTTTTGTTTTAAGATTATTTATTTATTTGTCAGAGAGAGAGAAATCACACAAGCTGGCAGAAGCAGAGAGAGAGAAGCAGGCTCCCTGCCAAGCAAGGAGCCCGATGAGGGACTCAGTCCTAGAACCCTGGGATCATGACCTGGGCCGAAGGCAGCAGCTTAACAGACCAAGCCACCCAGGCATCCCTCAAAGGGCAGTTTTATTCCCACCCCCATATCTTAAACACACACACACACACACACACACACACACACCTACCTCCAACCCATGCTGGTTTATTCACCATTTCATACATTCTTAGAATTCCTGCAGCAAGTCAGTGTAAACCCACAAAAGAGCACTGAAGACAAGCTGTTTTGTATTATTCTGCAAATCCTTCCTCTATATGCAGCTTCTGTCTGTCCATCATAAATATAATTAACGTTCTTCCCATTGCCTAGAGCATTACTGAGCACAGAAGGAGCTCTTAGGAAACCTCTTAGGCTGCCCATCTTTTCTTCGTACTGCAGCCAGAGTGATCTTTCCAAAACGCAGACATCATCTCCCTTTTTAGAAACCTTCCATAGGGGTGCCTGGGTGGCTCAGTGGGTTAAGCCTCTGCCTTTGGATCAGGTCATGATCTTGGAGTCCTGGGATCAAGCCCCGCATCGGGCTCTCTGCTCAACAGGGAGCCTGCTTCCTCCTCTCTCTCTGCCTGCCTCTCTGCCTACTTGTGATCTCTCCCTCTCTGTCAAATAAATAAATAAAATCTTAAAAAAAAAAAAACCTTCCATAGATTCCTTGCCCTTAAGATAAATATCAAACTTTTAGCATAGCCTCTGATATCTTAAGATAAATATCAAAATTTTACCACCATTGTCTGCCTCTTGAGCGCTCTCTTCCTAGCCTCTGTTCCCTCCACAGGGCCCTCGCAACCTCCGCCAGACCCTTCCCTCTTCCTTCCTCAATTTGCCTTTTTAATCTCACTTACCCTTCATATGTCAGCTCTCAAGGACGTATTTTCTTCCTCAGAAACTTTCCTGCACCTGCCAGTTTAGATAGTGTTCCTCTCTTATTGGCCTCAGTGAACTTTTTCTTTCCTTCAGAGCATTTATCTCAATCTGTCATTAAACCATCACCAGTGGGCTTATTTGATTACTGTGTGCCTCCCCACGAGGCTTTAAGCTCCGAGCGAGCAGTGGCTGTGTTTGGTTTAACTCACAGTCGTGATCTCTAGCACCTGCCGCACGGCTGACGTGTATTAGGTGTTCAGTAAGTATCTGCTGGACAGATGCCTGGATGAACACTAAGTGCCTTAATGTGCCATGCTCTGGACTCAGTCAGGTTCACAGTCAAAGGACACAGAGATAAACAATTACTGTGCAGTATTGAGTGTAAGGTGTGATTTTCAACGTCTGCCATGGCCACAGGGTTGGAGAAGCGGCATTGTGAGTGCCTGTGCCTTGATCTACTTGAACCCCATTATGCTGTATTTGCTATTGACCCAGATCTTGACCCCACCACCATCTGACAGGCTTAAGTGCTTGTACTTTTGTTCTGGTTTTCAGTCAGGACGGTGAACCTTCTCCAAAACTTTGTGAATAAGCTGTGCTCTCTATATGTCTGCAAGGTAGGGCTACTTGAGCTCCCTTTCTCCCCACGAACTCTGTGGTTCTGTAATAAAATTAGTTTCTAGTAGTTGTGCTTTAAGAAACAGGTTAGAAAAAAAAAAAAGAGGTTAGGGGCTCCGTGTAAGGATGAGGATGAAAAGTCAACAGACTGAACTCGGTCGCCACCTAGTGGTCACAGTTGCGCTTGCGTGTTTTTCAGAACCAGAAGCCTAGGGCTTGCCCTTTTCTCCACCTGCATTTCCGAACTGGCCTAGGTTACCTCCATCAGAAAAAGATGTGTGGCCAAGGGGCAGCGCCCCCCTCACATTTCTCCAGCAGTACCTTCAAAGTGTTGTTCCACTGCTCAGCTTCCTTCTTTTAAAGATATCCTAAGGATTCTGGTCCTCACTTTCCACTGAGCTCAGTTTGAACCGCCGCACCACCCATGCCATCTCTGATCCTTGTCAGATTTAACTGTCTCTGGTTCTCACGCTTATGTTTCCTGATTATCGGCCAATATCATGTGAATATGAATTAAGTTTTGAAACTTAAGTTTTGAGACTTAATTCATATTCACATAATATTGGCTGATAATAAGCAAACTCACCTCTTCCATTGATATCTATCTGCTTCTTAAACGTAGTAACAGAAAGGTGCCTGGAAGAGGTAACACCTGAGTTAAATCTTAAACAATGAAAAGAAGTTAACCAGTCAACAAGATAGGAGAGGGGCAATTTCAGAAAGAGGGAACAGCAGGAGCAAAAAGCATGGAGACCAGAGGTATCATGGAATATACAAGTAAATTCTTTGCAGTTGTTTTAAGATCATTATGACCTTATCTACTCTAATTTTTTTTTAAAGATTTCATTTATTTATTTGACAGAGAGAGATCACAAGTAGATGGAGAGGCAAGCAGAGAGAGAGAGAGGGAAGCAGGATCTCTGCCGAGCAGAGAACCCGACGCGGGACTCGATCCCAGGACCCCGAGATCATGACCCGAGCCGAAGGCAGCGGCTTAACCCACTGAGCCACCCAGGCGCCCTACTCTAATTTTGAATAATCCAGCCCCAAATATATTGCACATATTCAAATGCATTCCACATGAAATATAATTTAAACTTAACCATGAGTGGAGTTGAGTTAAAGTGACTAGTCACCATAATGTTAACTTGTTGTGGGCATGTATTAATTTTCATTTTTCAGGATATTTTGGTTATGTGTTTTGAAGCCAATACATTTTTTAACCTCAGATATATAGTGCCTTGTTAATAAAATAGCATAGCAGTGCCCAGGTGGCTTAGTCGCTTCAGTGTCCTACTCTTGATCTCAGCTCAAGTCCCAATCTCAGGGTCATGAGTTCAAGCCCAGCATTGGGCTCCAGGCTGAATGTGGAGCCTACTTAAGAAAATAAAATAAAGGGGCGCCTGGGTGGCCCAGTGGGTTAAAGCCTCTGCCTTCGGCTCAGGTCATGATCTCGGGGTCCTGGGATCGAGCCCCACATCGGGTTCTCTGCTCAGTGGGGAGCCTGCTTCCTCCTCTCTCTCTGTGCCTGCCTCTCTGCTTACTTGTGATCTCTCTCTGTCAAATAAATAAATAAAATCTTGAAAAAAAAATAAAAGAAAAGAAAAAATAAATAAACCAGCATAGCACTAACCAGTTCAGGGTTCTTGAGTATAATATTCAGGGTAGAGAATGAAAAGAAGTGAGAGTAAACAGGTAACCGGACACCAAAATACAGAAAGGCTTGGGTACCACCTAAATGACTTGGACTCAGGCCATTAAAGAATTCTGAACGGGAGCATGTCCTCTTCAGACATGCTTGCCATATAGCTCACTCTGGGAATGGTGTGGAGGTCAGATTGGAGAAAACCAAGACTGGAGACTGGGGGAGCCATTTGAAGGCTGATGCAGGGGGCGTCTGGGTGGCTCAGTCAGTTAAGTGTCTGCCTTTGGCTCAGGTCATGATCCTGGGATCAGTGGAGAGTCTATGTCTCCCTCTGCCCTTCACCCCACTTATGCGCATTCTCTTTCTCTCTCTCTCAAATAAATAAAGTAAAATTTTTTTTTTAAGTTTCTAAAAGGAAGAAGAAGAAGGCTGATGCAGAAGTAAGGCTCTACACCTGGGCAAAAGTGAGCCATGGAAGGACAGGAGGGAAAGCAAAGTGAGGAAAGATCCTACAGTGGAAGGGAGGTTTGGGTTGGGCATCAAGAGATCTGAGTTTTGGTCCTAAATCTGCCATTAATTGGACCTCAGTTTCCCTACCTGTGAAATGAAAGGATCCTCCTTGTTGATTACCACTGCTTCATCTCACTATGTCTGACAAATCAAGTGTGTGTTCTGGGAGTTCAGACCAAGAAGACCTGAAGACAATCTCTCCCACCCAAGTACTAAGCAAGCCCCACCCTACTTAGCTCCAGAGATAGATGAGACGAGGCACGTTCGGGGTGGTATGGCTGGAGACCAAAAATTATTTCTTAAGTTTCTTCTTGGTGCATAAACAATGAATCTTGGAACACTGAAAAAAAATTATTCTTTTTAAAAGAAGAAAAAAAAAAGGAAAAAAATTTTTCTGCCTTCAAGTTGCCAACAGTAAGTCCTATATAGCAAATGCATATGGGGAACCCATCCTGGTTACAAATCCAAGCCTTCTGCTAGAAAGCTCTGCTTCTTAAGCAGCAAATATCAAGTAAAGATGTACTAGAACATTATATCCTCACCAGTCTGTGCGGTTTTTTTAAAATAGTGACTTATGGGGCACCTGGGTGGCTCAGTTGGTTGAGCAGCTGCCTTCAGCTCGGGTCGTGATCCCGGGGTCCTGGGATCGAGCCCTATATTGGGCTCCCTGCTCAGTGGGGAGCCCGCTTCTCCTGCTCCCTCTGCTTGCTGCTCCCCTTGCTTGTGCTCTCTCACTCTCTCTCTCTCTGTCAAATAAATGAATAAAATCTTTAAAAAAACAAAAAATAAATTAAATAGTGGCTTACGGATCTTTAAAAAAATAAATCCCCTTTCCTTTTTGTTCCTTTCTATTGAAAGGGTTTTTTTTTTTTTTTAAAGATTTTATTTATTTATTTGACAGACAGAGAGCACAAGTAGACAGAGAGGCAGGCAGAGAGAGGGGGTGGGAAGCAGGCTCCCCGCTGAGCAGAGAGCCCGATGCGATGTGGGGCTGGATCCCAGGACCCTGGGATCACGACCTGAGCCAAAGGCAGAGGCTCAATCCACTGAGCCACCCAGGCGCCTGAAAGAGTTGTTTTTAAATCTTCCATCCTTTAAACTTTTCCTGTTGACATTCGTTGTTTTGTTTTGTTTCAGATTCCGACTCTCTTTGCCAGAGTCCAATCGCAGCAATATTGAGGTAGGAATCCAAGCTCTCAGAGTTCCTGTCAAGGGAAAAATGATAGTTTCCCTATATAGTAGCTGAATTAATGTTTTCTGAGCCTCTAAATACTTGATTTCCCCATGAGGGTAGGTTTTAACTTTAAAATTCCTTGTGTAGCTTCTTGTCCACCAACCCCATCACTTTTCAGAGTCCTGAGTGCTAACCATTACACAATGGAACCCAACCCCATAACTTTTAAACAGGACAGGAACTCTCCAATTTTATCTATTCAGAAAGACATTTAAAAGAATTTTCCTAAACACTAAGACCTATGTAATATTGGCATTTTCAGGGAGATTTTCAGGGCAATTTCATTCTTTGGATAAAATAATCTTTGAGAATTAAATATAAGATCCAGACTCCCAAAGGATGAGGCCATCTGCAAATTGTGAGGCCATGACTGAGTTGCTCTTGGAAGCCTTTCTAGCCATCTCCGAAAACCATTGCGAGGCTGGCTGTGCAGATACTTTGGGGTGAGGGGAGGCCAGCCTGGTGACCTCCTGATGAGAAGAGTATATCCCAACTTGGATAGACTTGGAATTGAACCCCACCCCCCAAGCTGCAGGAAGTTCAGCCAAATCACTCCTTGGTGTCCCTGCCCTTGTGGCACTTACATCGCAGAGCAGCAGTTCTCACGTTGGGCCAGTTTTGCCCCCCAGGGACATTTGGCAATGTCTGAAGACATTTTTGGTTGTCACAGTCCGGGGGATGCTTTAGGCACTTAGGGGGTAGAGACCAAGGATGCCGCTTACCATCCCACAGTGCATAAGACAACCCCTACGGCAAAGAAGGATCCATCCCAAAATGTCAATAGTGCCACTGTTGGCCACTCCTATTTCTAGTGTGTGTGTGGGGGGGGGGGGACAACAAGCAAATATATTTTGTCTGCTGAAAAATATTGTAGAGAAAAGTAAATCAGAGCAAGTGTATGGGCAGTGCAGGTGGGGACAGAGCTGGCCGTTCCAGTCTTCAGGTTGTTGGGACGATTCGCTGGGATTATATATGAGCTTCATTTAGCACATTGAATATATGGCAGGTGTTAAATAAATGATCCCCATTGTTCTCATGAAAATTAATTTCAGTTATTGCCACCTCTCTGTCACGGGGCAGCATAGCACAATGGTTACATCCACAAACTCGGGCCAACGCGCAGGAGTCAACTCCCACTTACGGGCTGTGTGACCTCAGTCAGGGCACTTGACCTCTCCCAGAGCAGTCCTAGACATGGTCCTGAACTGTTGACCATGTTCGACAGAAGCAGCTATTAAGAGAGGAATAGATGTGAGGAAAATAGCAAAGAAGCCCAGGAATTTATGCAGGTGGCCAGACAAGATGTTTGTTTGTTCAATTTTTAGGAACATCCTGATTTTCAGGTTGGGAAGATTAGAAGCCAGTGACATGAGTGCCAGCAAGCTGGAAAATAAGTTATATTTTCACGCCAGATATTGAAACATAAAATACCCGTAGTGTCTCACGCACTGTGGGTCAGCACCTCCATGGCATAGCTCTTTGGTAGATGACAGACCACAATCAATGAGAATGCACAGCTGACTTTCTCATAAATAACATTTCCTGAGCCTAGAGGAGGCAAAATGAGTCCAAGTCTTCCAGGAAGACCCAGAGAAACTGCTTAGTATCCACAACAGAGTGTGCTAATAATGACATTTCTGGGTGGAAAATATGACAGTGATATATACTGGGCATCTTACATAATATTCACTTGTTTAATCCTGAGACCAACTGAGACATTAGTGCTGTTATCTTCAGTGCACAGTAGAGGAAACTGAGGCACACAGAGATTAGAGAGCTTTTCCAACTTCACAGAAGTGGTAAAAACAAGAGCTAAACCTAGGAAGTCAGCTTCAGAGCCCTGCTTGCTAAGCTGCAAGGCTTGCTGAGCGTGTAGGATATTCAAAATATATTCATTGAGTGAACTGATGTTCATCACAGTCCATTTATTTTTTAAAATATTTACGTGTGAGAGAGAGAGAGAGAGAGAGTGTGTGTGTGTGTGTGTGTGTGTGTGCATTATAGTGGGGAGGAGAAGTGGGGAAGAGGGGGAGAGAATCTCCAGCAGACTCTGCACTGAGCCCAGAGCCTGACCCTGAGATCACGACCCCAAGATCATGACCAAGCCAAAACCAAGAGTCGGAGGCTCAACTGACTGAGCCACCAAGGCACCCCATTGTCCATTTGTTTTTAATACCTGAATCTTCCCAGGAACTAACACTTTTCTAAGATTTAACAACTACTGTGATTTATTCTGGGTAAATTGGATGTTCTGGTGATAGTGTTAACTATAGAGCATAAGGTAATGCAAAGGACCTCCATTAAGGAAAGACAACTAACTGGGATACTTAGTAATTGTTTAGATCGTCTTACTTGATAGATACCTAAGCTGCCGTGTTTGCTGCCACCATGTGGTCCCTCTACATTTGTTGTCACCATGACCCAGCCTACACGGAGCAGAAATGTCCAACCTCAAGGAGGAAAAAAGATTGGGAAACTGTAATACGGTTTCCCTCCAAGTAGCTTTCAGTGTCTGGAAAGCTAGATTATCTCCATGGGGAGATTCTAATTACTGCCCTCTGTCGTGATAAGGTCTGGGAAAGTGCACGTTCAGACCCGGCATGGTACCTTCAAAATGCCCTGATTTTGCAACTGATTAGTATCCCCTTTCATTTTAGGTCTTGAGGTTTGAGAACATTCTGTCCTCTATTCTCCACTTTGGAATCCTCCCACTGGCCAATGGTAAGGGGTTCTGGGGAAACATGTGACTCTGACATTAGCTAAACACTGGGGATTGTTTGGGACTTTCCACCCCAAAGGCTGTACTTCTAGCACATGACTGTGTGAATCCAGAGCCATCCCGGAACTTACAGAGTGTGGTTGCAAAGTTGGTTATTCCAGGTCCAAGCCTTGTTAGCCACACTACCTGTAGACTCAGCGAGAACAGCTAAACTCTGGTTGAATTGAAGAGATTGAAACCACACTCCGTAGGCAGTAAGAACCCTCCTTCAGGTCCGCCAGAAATGAAATTCAACTCCCTAGAGGGCATCTCTGTGGTTCTTATGCACAGACCACCATCTGGATAGACAGTTGTTGTTGTTTTTTTTAAGATTTTATTTGTTTATTTGACAGACAAAGGTCACAAGTAGGCAGAGAGCCTGATGCGGGGCTCAATCCCAGGACCCTGGGATCATGACCTGAGCCGAAGGCAGAGGCTTAACCCACTGAGCCACCCCGGTGTCCCTGGATAGACAGTTTGGATGAAGGACAATTCTAGGCCCTCTCCCTGTACGCAGTTGTTCATAAACAGCAGCATCTTGACTTTGGCTTGGTTAAAATATATTTTGTATCAGAGACCAGAATGTTCTCAGACACTAATTAAGGTATTTTCGAAATATAAACTGGACAAGTTGCCAGCATTTTTCTGCCATCCAAGTGTACATAGCTGCTTGTGCATTTTTACTAAGTACTTCAGTAACTAATTAAGTATTCATCGAGGAAAATGCAAGGAACATAAAATGAAAATACAGAAGAAAAAGATAGATTTAAAAACTGCTTATTCGTCTTTTACCAAAAACTTTGCCAGCTATCTTACCCCTTGCTCTGTTTTTCAGCAAAATTGCAGCAAGGAATTCCCCTGCCCAACCCACACAAAATCTCTCTTGTCAACTCCGATGTTGAAGTTTTTGCGGTAAGAATGTGAATATTTTCTTCACTGCCCCCATTTCTTTTCACAGTAGAAGCCTCTTCCGAGTTTGCTTATTCTGTTTTATGCTAATTTGCTTTGTGTTTTTCCAGCCCAAGGAATTTTATAGACAAAAGTTTTAGCTCTTAAAGCTTGCAGTCAACAATGAAAAGCATTTAAACTTGAGTTTAAAAATCAGACCGAGGCTGATTTCGCTTGGCAGGCCAGACTCACACTGTAGTAAGAGAAGGTGCACTGTGGTGGTGTGGCGTGCTCTGCCTCATTCCTTCTGCAAAACAACCTGCGAGGTTGGGATTAATGGCCGCCTTTTTAAAAAAACATTTTATTTTCTTTTTTCAGTGTTCCAAGATGCATTGTTTATGGACCACACCCAGTGCTCCATGCAATATGTGCCCTCCTTAGTACCCAACACCAGGTTCACCCACCACCCACACCCCTCCCCTCCAAAACCCTCAGTTTGTTTCTCAGAGTCCACAGACTCTCATGGTTCATCTCCCTCTCTGATTTCCCCCAACTCACTTCTCCTCTCCATCTCCCCATGTCCTCCGTGTTATTACTTGTGCTCCACAAGTAAGAGAAATCCTATGATAATTGACTCTCTCTGCTTGACTTATTTCACTCAGCATAATCTCCTCCAGCTCCATCCATGTTGATACAAAAGTTGGGTATTCATCCTTTCTGATGGAGGCATAATACTCCATTATATATATGGACCATATCTTCTTTATAACGGCCCCTTTTAAAATAAGGAGAGCAGGGCCTGGCTGAGACCTGACTGGTTCCTCTGATTCTCTTCAGTGAACTTTTGCCTGAACCAAAGACCCTCCTCGAGGTTCAGGGATCTGCTGTGAGCTGTTTCCTCATTAATCATTATCAACAAACTTCAGAACACTTTCTTTCTTCCATTTTGGCACCTTTTGGGGGCGTGGGGGAAATAAGATTCTGAAGGAATTCTCCAATCCCATGCACATCCTGCTCTCCTCCTTCCCTCCCCACCTCCGCTGCTTTTGTAGCTGCTCAAGTTACATAGGGAGACAATAACCCCAAGTGTCCTGTTCTGATGTCAGAGGCACTCACAAGGGGACAGCGGCAGGGAGGGTGTGACACAGGAGGACCTGGGAAAGAAACCATCTCTCCCTCACCCTTAGCAAACCCCAGAGGTCTGTGGCTGCCGGTGTCCAGGGTGTGACATTGTCTTCATTCTTGCCTCCTTTTCAGGGATTCCTTTTGATCTCCACCGACCTCAAGTATGAAACGTCCTTAAAGCAGCAGCCAAGTTTCCATGGTTGGGAAGGTCTGAACCTCATAAGTGGACAGTGGAGGGGGAAGCCCGCCGCTTGATTGCTTGTTTGGAGCCCACCCCAGGCGGCCAGTGGCCCTTAATCCACAGCTACTGTAAGCCCAGAAGGGGAGGACAGTGCACGCTGGATTGTAAAGCCCTGTGAAGTGCTTAGGCTGGCAGTTTTCCTTCTCGAGCCCTCAGGGACAGAGGGAGGCAAACTGAGTTAAAGAGCCAAATCGGGGTGTGTGTGTGTGTGTGTGTGTGTGTGTGTGTGTGTGTAGGGGTAGGCATTTCAGTGTTTCGTGTTCGAATGCACATTGTGTGTTTCTGTGTTTATAAAATGCTGGGGCCTGGAGCTAGCCATGTGCCCTGGAGGAGGCGCATGAGAAAGCCCAAAGGACAGATTTGCCCGAGTTCTTCCTGGAGGAGCTCCCTTTAGCTCTCTCAGCAACCCAGGGTTTCCCCCACTTCCCTGCATATTGGATTGTATGTTTTATATTACTGCTACTGTCCCTTGTATTTAATTAAACTCGTTTTCTATTAATGTGAACTTGTCTTTTTATTTGAGAAAATCTCTGCTTCTGCTCTGGATTTTTTTTTAAATAAAATAAGACAAAGATGAGAGAATTTAACATCTTTAGCTAACATCTTTAATTTAACATCATTAACATCGTTAACATCTTTGACAAAAAGTAAGGGTATGCAGACTTCAAGGCTTGATCTAAAAAGGGACCAGCTTGGGATGCCTGGGTGGCTCAGTTCATTAAGCGGCTGCGGTCAGCTTAGGTTATGATCCCAGGATCCTAGGGATCCTAGGATGGAATCCTCCATAGACCTCCTTGCTCAGCAGGGAGCCTGCTTCTCCCTCTGCCTCTGTCTGCCACTCCCCCTGCTTGTGCTCCCTTTCTCTCTCTAGCAAATAAATAAATAAAATCTTTTAAAGGGGGTGGGCAGCTTGGTTCCTCAATGTTTCTGGTGAGAAACAGTGGTCACAGCAAACTCGAGAAGTTATATCACTTCTTTAAGTTTTAGGGTTTTCCCTCCCAGATGAAATGGTAGTGCCAAGTACTTAGCCTAGATCATTCGTCGCTGGGGATCTTAAGTTGTTAGAGCATCTAATTATTGGGGTGACACTGGGGCAGAAGAGGAGGAAAGGGGAACCCATATGGATAATGCAAGAAGGACTAGAAACCACCGACTTTGCCTTTGTGGCTCTCACAGTCTCCTGGGAGAGTGGATGCCAAGCCTGGTACTGGTTACTCCAGGACGGTCACTCACCTAATGCTCACACGCTCAGAAGAACTGTGGTCCCATTTTACAGATCAGAAAACGAAGTAGGAGAGAGATGAATCCCACAAGGCTGGTAAAGCAGCCTGTGCTACAGGGCAGAGGGAGAAATGGAGTCCAAGTCTTCCCGATCCCAAAGTCACTGCTATTTACATGCGGTAGGACTAGAAGCGGAAATACGTGAAAACCGCTTACTCTGGGAGCAAGAGAGGCGTGTAAAAGAGCACGAACAAGGGTTCCCAAGAAGGGAAGCCCGGGCAGCCGGCTGTCCGCCTTGGACTGCCGTCTGCTCATCTTCAGGGTGCGCCTCTGGCCATAATAACCAGCCCATCGGTGTTCGCTGGAATAACGGGTAAACTGTCACCTTCATTCTTTGGAACGTTCTTTTCTGACAGAAAAGTGATTTAACGTGCATCCACAAATGCGTCCTGAAACATTACACGTGTCCAGTCATTTTATTTAAACAGGTTTCGCGGCTACACGCATCTTTTTTCCCTCCCTGCTGGGAACGTAAACTCCACGCAGATTTTCATTACAGCAGTTGGACCTGATCCAGATTCAGTGCGTTCTTCAAGTGCTTAAAAGCACTTCCAAAACAAAGTGTGACTACAAACTCGCTAAAAACGACTGCATTTAGCTCAGCTTTGAGTCTGAAGAGGGCTCGTAAATATCCAAAAAAGATAAACACTAGAGGGCAGTCTAACTTAACGAGAGAAAAGCGATTTGTAGGGGCATGAGTTTCGAGCCTCGACGCTTGCCGTCGTCCATCCTGCGAAGGAGCCTACTGCGCCTGCGCGTTGGATTCCGAAGGTGGTGCTTCAGGCCGCGGGACAGCGCGGCAGCGTCTCTTCAAAGGGGAGCCGGGAGTTTTCGCCACCGTTGTCGCCGCCATGAGTCGCAGCTATAATGATGAGCTGCAATTCTTGGAAAAGATCAATAAAAACTGCTGGAGAATCAAGAAGGGCTTCGTGCCTAACATGCAGGTGAGGCGGGGAAGCAGGGAGCCCGTGACGGGGCCTTTCCGGGGGCCCGCGGCGCCTCCCTGCCCAACCGGCCTGGCCTTCCCCCTCGTCCTCCCGACTCCTGGCTTAGCGCGGGGACCGTCCCCGTCCCCAACCTCCGGCCGGCCCCCCCTCCCGGCGGGAAAGGTCCCCAGAACGGAACGTTCCGGGGGAATCCCAAGTGAACGCGAAATTCGCGCTTGCAAAACGCTTTCGCGTCGAAGTCTCCGAAACGCACCGCAAGATGTTACATCCTCGAGCTTTGGAGACGTGAGGGGTAGTTGTACACGGTGGCCCAGCCAGTCCCGGGTGGAGTCGCTGGGATGGGACTCTGTTCCTGAGTCATGCTGGCCATCTGGGTGACGTTTACAAGACCTTTGTTTGCTGAAGCAAGTTACTAGCATCCACCGTTCAATAAAGCGTCTTTGCCTCTCGCAGCGGTCGAGAAGATTCCCAGGGTAGGGTGGCTTGTTTTGAATACTCCCTTCGCTAAGGAAGCTACAGCTTCCTCTAGCCACCTCGTAAGCTCAGCCAGGACTTTGATGCCCCTTTTACTTCTTTTCTCCGACGGAATGATGTATTCCCGTTGGAGACTTGGAACCCAACACCACGGAGCGTGGAAGCCTGGGTTCACTCTCTCTCGCAGGCTTCGTTGCCATTTGTATCTATTATTTTCCATTAAAGGGAAGAAAACAGTCGTTTGCTAGTTTCAGGGGCATATGTTGTTAAATAGCTTTTGAAGTCTTTTAAGGTGCCTTGTAAGTGTATTGAAAGGTTTGTGAGTCTGTGTTTTGGTAAGAGTTCCTGATAGCCACTGCACTCTTTTCCTCAATATCAGAACTTACTGAGTGTCCCCCATGAGCAAAGCGGGACTCTGAGAGGAGAAAAAGGCCATGGTCATAAGATTTCCTTTTTGCTGTTTTCTGTTTAACCAGTTTCTGTCTAAGGAATCTGGTTCCCTGAATGAAGGAATAGGAAATAACCATGACATGATGGTCATGATAACACACGGTCAGTGTCTGGTAGTGATTCTGGCTTCACTTTTGATACACACACTTGCTGCTGATTCTGCCCAAGAGCCAGTCTCATCTTGCCGTTGGCAGTTACGGTTTCACTGTTTGTACACTTGACTACCACTTCTCCCCTAAGAGCAGAGAGTTGAAATCTCAGTGTACTACTTTGTACTAAGGTTGAATTCTATTCCCGTACTTGAGAGATCAGTGAACTTCACCATAATTACCGTATCTATCCTACTTAATCTCCAGTAAGACCCACATGCTGCACTAAAAATTCCTCTCCCCCAAAACACCCCCCTCCCAACTTTGTCATTTTTGTGTCTCCTTTATATTTCCTGAATGTCTTGCAGCTCCAGTGATGTCTCTTGTCTTTGAAGAGCTGGTTCAAACAGTGAGCACCTGTCAAGCCTCCTCCGGGCTCCCTAGGCTGCTGAGCTGCTTCCTCCGTTTTTTCCATAGCACTTTCCTATCATAGTGCTCGTCTCATTGCACCCTTGATTTTCTAGTCTGGGCTGCATCCTGGGCTGGAAATTCATCCGAAAACAGCATCTTAGGGACACCTGGGTGGCTCGGTCAGTTAAGTGTCTGCCTTTGGCTCAGGTCATGATTGCAGGATCCTGGGATCAAGTCCCGCATCGGGCTCCTTGCTCCGTGGGGAGCCTCCTTCTCTCTCTGCCTGCCCCCGCCCCAACAGATGGGTGAAATCTTTAAAAAAAAACTTATATATTCTTCATATCTCCCCTAGTGCCCAGTACAGTGCCTAAAACATAGTAAATCCTCAGTAAATCTTTGGTGAATTAATAAAATGTGCTCCGTAGAGAATAATGCTGGAGACATTTTGCTTACACTGGTGTTGTTATTCAAGCAGAGGTCCTCTTTCTTATGAAAGAAAGAAATTTGTCCAGGTGAATGCCCTCCTTAGGTGGGCAGCTCCTTCATAGTCTTTGATCTCATAAAAATGTTCTGGCCTTAGGTGTTACATAATTACATTCTTCCTTGCCATTTGTATTTTTTGTCAAGCTCCTTTAGCCTCTTAAAATTGTGTAGATTCTAGAACTAAGCACACAGCTGTGTATCTACATGTTAAAATTTTTTTACTCTTTACCTAAGTATTGATTTATAAATGAGCATAAGACAAAATAAAGTGTAACGTGCTGTTGTCTTCAGGCACAGAAAAAATACACTACGGTCAGATGACTGCATTTTTATATTTAGAATCTTAACTCTTGATTCATCTGTTTATCAAAACCACTGATTTTTAGAAGCACAAGAGTAGTAGGACTTTGGCCTTGGTGAGAGCATAGTTAGAAGAATTTTTTTCTTAGAGGTTTTATTTGAGAGAGAGAGAACACGAGTGGGGTGAGGGGCTCGATCCCTGGGACTCCAGGATCATGACCTGAGCTAAAGGCAGATGCCCAGCCAACTGAGCCCCACAGGTGCTCCAAGACTTCTTTATCACACGTGCAAAAAATTCTTGTTGAATTCTTAAGTGTGGCTTTAAGAATAGGGGAATAAACAATTTGTGAACATTGCAGAATACATTTTTAAGACCTACTTAAAGATATCAACATCTCATCTTTGTTAGGAAGTTTTCTGCTTGCTTAAGGTAATGAGAAAGTGGGGGCGCCTGGATGGCTCAGTGGGTTGGGCCTCTGCCTTCGGCTCGGGTCATGGTCTCGGGGTCCTGGGATCGAGTCCGCATCAGGCTCTCTGCTCGGCGGGGAGCCTGCTTCCCCCTCTCTCTCTGCCTGCCTCTCTGCCCACTTGTGATCTCTGTCTGTCAAATAAATAAATAAAGTCTTTTAAAAAAGAAAAAAAGAGGTAATGAGAAAGTGTTCTATAAAGGGTAAAGTAAAATAAATGTTTCATATGGTATTTGTATTCTAACCAGTGCCTGCCTGTATGTCATGGAC